AACCCTGACAGGTGCATTTCTTATAGGTGATGATAAACTCTGTATTTCAGGGTTGATTCTGTTGATCTATGGAAAAAGGGTTTATCAAGAGTGAAACCAGTACAAGGGTATATCGGTTTGCAACGGGTGACAAACCCTTGAACAGTTATAAACGGGAAAAGGGTTTATCAGAGGGTACATCTAATTGATAAACTGATTTAGCAGTTATAAATCCTTTTTCAGGGTAGATCATTCTCCGAATTCTTTTTTGTGTGTACGGTAATAAAAAACGAATTTGTACGCACTTAGTAAGATCAAGAGTATATCAGTCGCTCTCAGGGAACTCAAACGGAAAAATGACAGACGCGTTCTATAGATATCGAAAGCCTTGAAAACTCTAACTTTTTGTATCTTTTTTCATGAGAAATTTAAGCTGATTACACAATCGTAAATTAGTCTCAATTTTTCTTAAAAATTAAAAAAAAATCGGCAATTTGAACGATTATATCGCGATAAGATCGCACGATACATCGCCCTAATATTCCGCGATATAATCGTCGATTCTTTTGGGATTTTGAGGACATGTGAACTCAAGCATTTGTTGTATTTTGTCCCATAAAACAGTTAGAAAAAAGAAAGATAAGACTAGTTGTTTTAGATCGATTCACAGCAAGCAAAAACAAAGGATCCATGGCAAACGTAACTAAAAAACGTATAGCTATCATTGGTGCTGGCCCAAGTGGTTTATCGCAATTGATTGCTTTCAAACAAGCCGAACAAGAACAACGTGTCGAGTTGGTCTGTTTTGAAAGACAAGCAGAATGGGGTGGTCTATGGCAATATACTGCTCTAGTAGGTACATATTCTTGTGGCGAACCTATCCATTCAAGCATGTATCGACAGTAAGTGCTAAATTTAAGTTTCAGGATTGTTTTTATTGAATTTTTTATCCGTTAGATTGTGGTCAAATGGTCCTAAAGAATTACTTGAATATGCTGATTATTCATTTGAGCAACACTTTGGTCGCTCTATTACATCTTATCCACCACGTGCTATTTTATATGATTATATAATTGGTCGAGCTGCAGCAGCCGATGTTCGCAAATTTATTCATTTTCGAACGACTGTACGTCATGTTGATTTTGATGATAATACACAGCAATTTCATGTCACTGTTCAAGATCTTCTCGCTAATGAATTACAGAAGGATTTAATATTCGACCATGTAATAGTAGCTACTGGGCATTATACAATACCTAATATGCCTGACTTCGAAGGCCTTTCTACATTTCCAGGACGAGTTCTACATTCACATGATTATCGTGGCGCTGATGAATTTGTTGGTAAGAATCTATTGATTATTGGCGGTAGCTATTCGGCTGAAGATATAGCTATACAATGTTACAAATTTGGTGCTGGTTCTATTACAATAAGTTATCGTTCATGTCCCATGGCATTTAAATGGCCCGAGGCTATAAAAGAAGTTCCTCTATTACAACGAATTGATGGACACACTGCATATTTTAAAGATGGAACAAGTGTTGATAATATCGATTGCGTAATTTTATGTACTGGCTATCGACATAATCATTCTTATATGGCTGAGCCTCTTCGTTTTCAATGTACAAGCAATCTTTATATACCCAACAATCTTTATAAAGGTATATTTTGGTCTGCTGAGCCTCGCCTTGCTTATTTAGGTATGCAAAATCAACTATATACTTTAAATATGTTCGATATTCAGGCTGCGCTTGTACGTGATGTTTTTCTTGATACAGTTAAATTACCAGATGATGATGATAAAAAACGCCAAGAAGATATTGCTAAATGGCAAGCACGTGAAAAGACACTTTCTCCAGAGGATCATGAAGGTTTTAGTGATCTTCAAACAGATTATCTAGACGATGTTACAAGCTGTTGTGATCAAAATACGGTACCCAAATTTGATCTTCAACGAGTAAATGCTGGATTCTATAAATTTTTCCATGATAAAAAAGAAAACCTTATAACCTATCGTGATCAAACATTCACTTCGATTTTTCCTCCATTTAAAGAAGCCTCAACATCTAAAATACAATGGATTAATAATAAGGATGATTCGATTCAAGGATATCTCGCATCCATCACAACTGCATAATATGTTGACATTCGGCGACTGAAAACATTTTTAGTGCATGCCATTACCGATGGCCATGATATAAATTTAGTTAGGATATATCTTCTATATTCTGCTTTGTGTTTCGTTATGGTATCATCCATTGCATTCTTTGATGTTTTTTTTTCTCTCTCTTGTCTCTCTCCATGTACTAAATTTACCCCT